GAGAGAGAGAGAGAGAGAGAGAGAGAGAGAGAGAGATGTCAATACGGATCTTAATCAATATTTCAACTAAATCATTGCTCGCAATTAATTACTTTTTAAGCCAGATCTTACATGAATGAATACAACAAATGAAGTTTATAAAAATTTTAATTCAAGTTAAATTTAATTAAAAAATTAATCAAAGTTTCCATTTAAAAATTTGCAATACATAAAAAAAAATTTCCTATGCGTACATAATAAAATGAATTTTTTAACTAATAAATTATTATTAATAATCAAAGTTAATCAATGTATGAAAATAATAAACACGATACATGAGTATCTGATAAAGTTTTTTAAAATACATTTAAAATATATGTTTTATTTTATTATGTTTATTTAAAAATGATTCAAATTTATGCAAGATAATTTATTAGAATAATTAATAAATTAATTAGAATTAAAATGAATTTATCAAAATAACCAAGATATTCTATATTTACTGTGTATAATTCTATTTTATGTTTTATATGATTTTACATGATTTACTCCGAGTATTAACTAACATGATAATAATTTATTTAATTTATTTATTTGATAATAAATTAATAAAATAATGATTGTTAAATAAAAAGTTTGATTTATTTGTTAAACAAGTAACATTATGCGAGTTTTACGCAATAACAGTAGTATTTTATTAAATAAATTAAATTAATCAACATGGTAATTTACTATAAGTAATCTAAAAGTAAAATTATTATTTTTACACACATCAAATGTAAATTTTGTAGGATATCTAAAAATCATACAATTCATGCCAATAACACAATAGGTTTGCGTTTCAAAATCAACAGGATATATTAATAACAACGTTATTACTAGACTATTATTAAGCATATTTTACTAAATCACATTTTATGCATAATTGAGCAAGGCAATAATGAGTATTTGTAATACACTATTACACTTATGAATTCTGGTGTATTATTGACAAAGTAAGATAGTTATGAATTATGCATTTACTAAACTGAGTAATCTTTGCTTGCACTTTTGATGAGAACAATATTAATTTTTTAATTTAAAAAATAATATATTTTAATATCTTAAATTAAATCAAAAAAATATTTTATATGAATACATTAATTAAGTTAGTTTTTATCTCGCGAAGTCTGATAAAGTATAACCATATAAGACAATATAAATGTTGATATCTGTTAGAGAGAGAGAGAGAGAGAGAGAGAGAGAGCCAGAGAGAGAGAGAGAGATTAGATATAATATGTATAAAACCTATTATAAAATTACATTTATTTAAATATATTTACAGAAAGTAATGTTTGTTTACTAATTGGTGCAAAACCTCCAATAGTCAGTCCAAACGTACGTCGGTTTCCCAATACAGTCGTAAACGTAAGCCATTGTCTGTATTCAATGTCCGACATATACCGGGTGTTTATTGAGCTCAAGGCGTAAAATATTTGTCCGCATTTATCAGCAATTTTATTACAAGCAAAACATAATGTGATAAATTTACAACAATTGACACCACACAAGTTGTGTATATTTTGCCAAACACCAAGTGCGAATTATATTCCATGATGTTAAAAATATCATACATAACGTACACAATTAATTGTAATGTGACCGCAATAAAAACATAATAAAACATGGTATTTAGCTTGTTAACTGCAGTGTACATTGCCAAATATTTTAATCTCAACTTGGTTATTTTTTCACAATTTAGACCAGACGTGTTTATGACTATAGACATAATACAACTTCAATCAATAACATTTAGTATTTACATAGATTACCTGTTAATTGAGCATAAATATTTTCTAGACCCGTAATTGTACATGCAATAACGCCAAACAATATAGACCATAATGCAACGTGATGAGCCCCAATAAATGTATGCTCAATTAGAAATGTAATTTTACCCACATCATTTAACTGGTCACTTGTACTAACTAAATGTATAATAAAATAATAATGGCATAGAAAGTCTATAAGTAATATAATTAATAATAAAAGACTAGTAGTTGAATTTATAGATTGTTTAATACACACAGCTAGGTGATCATTAATAATAACAATAATTTTATATCCAGATGATAAATTTAATGTATAGACTATTGCTAAATGAGTAACTAATCTAGCAAATCTAAATGATATGTATAACATGGGATATATATGCAAATATGATCCATATAATTTAAGCATCAAATTGTTTTTAAATAATACTACGTAAAATAAATTGTAACATTCAAATGCTGTTATTAATATAGTAATTATGTAGCCATAATATTTAATATAGTAGTTTTGTTTAATTGAATTGTTATGTAATTTAATGGTTAAGCCATTGAATACACAACCAAATACTAAACAATAAATTTGAACAAGTTTAAAAATATTGGCAAGATTGAAATATTTGTAACACATTTTAAACAGCTTAGAAATGCTTTAGAAATGCTTCAATCAAGTTTTGGCTTGTGTAAAGTAAATGACTGTGTAATTGTGTACTATGTAAAGTAATTTAATTATTATATATAAAATAAATTATCATTTTATTATCATGTTTATGATTTGAAAAAATTATAATTTATTATTAGATCTAGATATGAAGCAATTTATTACATTTATTTTTGGTAGTTTTACATTTAACATTTAGTTATTACAAAACACATTTGATAAATTGAAATTTAATTGTGTAATGCTTTACTTATGTCATTAATTATATATTTTTTATACAACACATTTATAATGGTAATATTAATCATGTTCAATTGTTTCAATTTGTGGTACACAATATCTACAATACAGAAAATAATATAAGCTGAGAAAATTGTCATATGACAAATTTAACCCATGAATCTCAAACAGATGGTATTTTGTACATTAAATGTTCTTATAAATTATAAATGATAAGCACTATCTTGTTTTACTATTAAATCTATCAACAAATCAATTACTTTGTTTCAAATATTTATTTATTGAGAGAGAGAGAGAGAGAAAGATTTATTGAACAAGATATTAGACTGTTAAACAATTAAAATTTATTTCAAAATATGTTAAACATTCCCAAATTAATTAACTAATATAAACAGAAATATTTACATTAAAACTAGCTTGATCTAATGCAGTAAATTTTTGCTAATATTTAATAATTTTATTAATTTACTAATTAATTAGTTTATTCAGAGGAGAGAGAGAGAGAGAGAGATAAGAGCAGAATGTCGGTGTAAATAAACAGTCGAGAAAGTTATACAGCAGTATTATTAATATTGTACTATTAACTAACTTTACATATCCTTTCCAATATACAGTATAAAAGTTAATTATGAATAGTTAGAAATAAAATTAATTGCAAATTAATTACTTTTAATCACAACAAAATAATTTATATACAATAATAATGTCCGTAAGTCTCGCGCGACAGAACTTCCATCAGGACTCTGAGGCCGGTATTAACAAACAAATTAACCTCGAGCTCCACACCTCCTATGTGTACGAACAGCTGGTAAGTCTGCTACCCCTCCCCAGAAAAAACATCTATCTACCTTTTTAAAAAATCAAACTAACAACATACCACCAATAAATCCAATCAGGCATGGTACTTTAACCGGGACGACGTGGCCCTTGATGGTTTACACACTCTATTCAAGGCCAGGGCTGACACCGAGCGAGCCCACTCGCGCACACTACTGGCCTATCTAAACAAACGAGGTGGTCGTGCAGTGCTGTACGATATCCCCCGACCGGTCAAACAAGAGTGGGGGTCACCGGTGGAGGCTCTGGAGGCGGCCCTACAGCTCGAGCGCACCGTTAATCAGGCTTTTATTGACTTGCAAGCGGTCGCCGACCGGACTAATGACCCCGCGTTTACTGATCTGATTGAGTCCGAGTTTCTACACGATAGGGTTGACCACATTAAACGACTGGCCGATCACCTGACTAATCTAAAACGTGTGGGTACAGGTCTTGGTGAATATTTGTTTGACAAAAAGACTCTAGATTAATTTGACAGTTAATTAATTTGGGAATGTTTAACATATTTTGAAATAAATTTTAATTGTTTAACAGTCTAATATCTTGTTCAATAAATCTTAGAGAGAGAGAGAGAGAGAGGAGACTTATTTGATTAATTAATCATTTAATTATTTTAATAATTTATAATCGTTTTTAAATGACGTAATCTAGTTCGATCAAAATTACATTTATAAAGACAAATATAGAATATAACAAACTGTAAAATATTAATATTTTTTTATTCGATATGGTCAAGCATCTTAATATATTTAAATTTGGTCTTGTTTGACTTGTTTGACTAAAGCCTAAAGCAAATTTTAAAATATTAAATACGCATCAATTCAAAATTTTTAATTTTCAAACTAATAGTATTTTGATTAGCTATTGTTTGTTGTTAATTGCCTACTTTTAAAACAATTATTTATTTAATTATTCAAAATTTTATTTAAATCATGATATAATAGTATTATTTACAATAATTATTTTATTAATAAAAAATTAATTTCCAAAAATTTGTAATTAGAAGTATGAAACCATTAATTATTAAATCAGACATTTTCTCTTACCATTTTAAAAGACATTTATTTTACTACAGTCTACTTCTTATTTAGGTAATTTAATTACAGATAATCTTAAATCAATTGTTTTAATTATTTTTAAAATTTTGTTAATTATTTTGATAAATTATATACATGTATAACATTGTAGAAAATATTTTTAAATATTTTTTATATATTGTTTTAGAAAATATAGCTTTAATTAATGTTAATTTAATTATTATTGAGTTAATAATTGTTGTGAAAATTAATTACAATATTACTAAACCTGTATAATATGCACTTAATTATAAAGTACTACAAATTGAAAATTGATCTAGCAAGTCATTCTTATTTCTGTATATGCAATATGTATTCAAGGATAGTATAATAGACGTCTCAAAATTATTTACTAGAATTTAATTATAATAATTATATTTATTAAACATAAATAGTTAATTGGAAAGCAATCATATGATAGTAAACAACAAAATAAGTTATCATTTACTTTGCTCTCTGCGATCATACCGTTAGTTTCGCACTGCACTGACATTTTACGAGCTAAATAACCAATCAATAACTTTATAAACCACTTAACAAATTAATATCTATGTACTCGGTTGTGTAATTATGCCTGCACGTCAATTACCTAGCTAAAAATTGTATAACAAGTACTGTTGCTTTGCATTAAAATATACTTAGGTACTTGAAAGGGGCACTACGATATCACTAAAATAATACTTAAATAACACATGGTAGTTTTACCACATTTTAATGCATTGGCTAAATGGTATATAAGCTCCGTTAGGACAGTAGGCCTATTCATAATCATAAATACATTGATGTTTTATGCTTCAACAGTGTTTGAACAAAGACATCGTTTATTAAGTTATTTCCTCTATTCATACAACACTTGTATTCACTTTTTATACTAAAAAAATATTTTGTAATTAAATATAATTTTTAATTCAAAGTATAATTTTCGTTGAGTTTTTAATTGTTTTGTGAGAATAACTAAATAAAAGTATTCAATAATAATGTCAAACGTGAGACAGAACTTCCATCAGGACTCTGAGGCCGGTATTAACAAACAGATTAACCTCGAGCTCCACGCGTCCTATGTGTACGAACAGTTGGTAAGTCTACATCTCAATAATATTAGTATAACCTAGCTATATTGAA